GTTCCAATCGATGCAGTTCTTGATCAACGGTTGATATAACTGCATTTGGTACCGGTCTTTGAGCCTTAAGGAGTGGTTTGGCTCCTGGCCGCAGGCTCAACATTGCCTTTAATTTCGTACAATGGCCCAAGCCGTCCTGAAAGGCAAATTTTCGCTTCAGCAAACGTGTCATGTCTTCTACGGACTTTGATGATGGGTCTGGACTTGCTCGGACTCGACTGCAGATATGACTCAGAGGAACATCAAGGAGTTGCAACTTTATAATCCGGTCGAGACCAAGAAGATTCAAATTCGGCCGGTCCGAAATGTAGCACTTTCCCGACTCTTCCAACCTTTGAATAGAATTTTGCTAGTAAGTTCACTCACCAGTTTTAGCACACCATCGGATGCACTGTGAGAAAGTTCGTGAGACTTGACCATCTTTGCATCTTTGTGATTCCATATGTTCCTGGAAATAATCGTAAAGTCCGACGCCACGTCGAATTGCAGTTTCGCTGGGATCCTATTAATCAAAAGGTTGAGGAGCAGTCGTAACGGTTTACACTCAGTTTGGAATGCGGCAACTATGGACAGAGACTCAGCGCCATCTAAACTAGAATCTCTTTTTCGATAAGACTTCGTTACGTTATTCGGTCGGACCTGACTGCAGAATTCCTTATGGCCATGCTTATGGCACCTTTCACAAGTATGACGTTTAAACGGGCAAAAGCGCGAAATGCCATTCGCCGCATGACCAGCACGCTGTGGGCGGTTTGTTCGTGATCACTTGAATGGTTTGTTAAGTTGATAGTACTGGGTTATTTCACGAAGTGTACGGTATCTGGTGGTGCGAGACTATTTAGTTTGATCAGGGCAGCAGTCTGCATTTGCTTACCAGGGTCGTCAGTGCCAGATTGGGATACTGATCCAGGTTAGCTATAAGCCGCATGCGGATCTCAGCAACACTGGGGGACTGTAGAGCGCTGACGAAAACGAGACATTTAAATTGATCGTCCGTTAGAGAGCGTAGCTTGAAACGCTCACACTTACGATCATTCATGCCAAAGTCGTCCGATTCCTGTTTGACAATTTCCATGCATTGATAGCGAATACTAAACAAGGATACTGAAACATCGAAATTTTCAGTCAGCTGCGACACTGTTTCTTCAAACGTCAGATCCTTCGGCTGTTTGGGCAGAATGTGATCTATGAATCTTGAATGTTCATCTGTTTCGAATCTGCGGAGTAACAATAGCACCTTCCAGGAGTCGTCCTGACGAATAAAGTCCGTCCGGAACATGTCTTCCCAGCGCTTGAACCACGTTTCGAATGTGCATCCAGAATCCGTGTCATAATTCAAAGCAGTGATGGCATTCATGAGAAGATCAACGGAACTTGCCTGAGTGTCCGGCGTTGCTGCTGCTGTTGACTGCAAACTCAAGCATTGTCAATTTTTTGATCACTTTCATTTGTGCCCCTATATATATATATATATATATATATATATATATATATATATATATATATAAAATCGGTGTAGAGATATTGTGCCATCGGTTGCCTAGGCCGAAATAGAGGGTTGTCTTAGGGGGCCCCACCCCGAGCCTTTGACACAGGATCTAACCCACCAGGCAGTAGGGCAATATGAGGGTATCGCAACCCGTTGGGAGCCGGTGACCAAACAAGAGGATCGCACAGGATGAGGGGCCCAACGCACGCTTGTATTACAATGCCGCTCAGAGAAAGACAAGGGGCAGTAACTTTATTTAATCATGAGTCACATCCGCCACGTCACGGTGTTGTTAAACGGAGATATGTGGCTTTTTATAGGGAGAACGCTTGCAAGGCGAAAACGCACGACGTCTTGGAACACTGCCGCTGAACCATTCGCTGGAACGAGATAGTCCCGAGTTACCCAGCTGGCACCACGAGGTTGTTCGGCAAGCCAGCTCAAGAGGGTAAATGATATTCTCCGGATGCACATTCGCAGAGAGGGGTTTTCTTCGATGTGCCTTACCTCTAGTCATTGGCTCCAAAGCCTGACCCACAAGCAAGTCCAGCTCCGGAGTGTGATTGCAGAGACCCACTGACTCCCGCGACGTGCGTTGTTTGCGCGCCGGGGGTGTGGATGGAAGAAGAGGAGGGGTGGCCAAGCGATGACTTGGTCGAGAGGAATGAAGGTCCTCACTTCGGAGCTGGCCTCGGCTCCCTGGTTGGGGTCCGAAAGACAATGAACACGTTTGGTTGGACACACTTGCTGACATGGCAAGGAGCCGACCTCAGTGGCGTTCGTGCTGTGAGTTTCTTTGTCTCACCCCATCCCTCTTAGCCTTCCCCTCTAACCACGATCTCATTACTTAGCCTTATATAGTACTGCAAAGTAATTATTTTGATGCACAGTAGCCGGCTGGTAACTTACCAGTACGATGCCCATCCGTTACCGGTAGCTCAGCCGGCTTGCAACAGTTGCTTTTTTCTCCTTTTTCTGTGTATTGCGGCACAGTAGCTGAGGTGTTCCCCGCCTCTAGCTAACGTGTATGATGATGATGATGATGACCCACTGGGATCTGTTTGCAGTCTGTCACATGCAGCCCTTGGAGCCTGAATACACGTTTTTTACGGCAGTATTATGTCACATACCTGTGATCACGGCCAGCAGCAGGTGACGGTGGGCGGATCTGCACCATTTTGATTAAGGTCGGTAACCAACCATTGGGCACCGGGCGGTGCTCTACCACCGTCAGAGACAATACGTGCTCTACACTAATCGGGCTGTGAGCTTATAAGCCTTAAACTTGTCGTCTTACATGACTATGTTTTGTGGGGAGACGGACATCGACCTCTCCGCAACCTCCGAAGAGAATGGTGACACAGTTAGTGTAGAATCCCAAATGCGCTATGTTGTGAAACCTTCGTTGCGCCCAATGACCCGCTGGATATGATTCCCCCCACCAACCCAACTCTTTTCCTTGTCCCAAACCAAGCTTTGTTTACCTCTGGCCCAATGCAGATTAGGTGTTCTGATGTCAAATTAGTTACGTGTTTTTCTTGCACTTTGAGAAGGCGGCTGACCTATATTCAATAGCACATTGACCTAACTTTCTAACTTCAGAACAAACTGCACTAGCCCACCACATACTAATGTCCGGTGTGTTACTGGTGCACGAGAATGTTACAATACCTATCCCTTGAGCTTAAATTACCTCACATTGCATGAGTGGCCTGACAATATTGCACTGTTGATCTGAGCGGAGGTCACACATTAAAAGCATTTGGCTCGTGCGGCCTATTGTTTTGTTCTCACCTAATGTAGAGTTGAAACACAATGCCATCAATTTGTGTAATGCGCGAATTCTCACAACTATGACACACGGTAGCCTCCTTTCTGATTGGTCCTGTGTAAGCCTATTTTAAGCCACAGTGCATTGAGATGAGTGCAGTTCCACGTAAGTCTTGAAGCCATACTCAATGGACAATTTAGATTGCTTGCTGTTGTTGATACGCCTGTGCCGGAAGCACAGGTACGCTAACTTCGTTAGCAATAATATCGTATTCCAGCTCCGGCTTTATTCGTATTGATTCCGGTGGAAACAAGTTTGCTAAAGGCTTTCAAGCGATTTATCGCTTATAGTTAGTCGAAACCCTAACCACTGATGGGGCTGATAAGAGCAGCTCTGATGGCATTTGGAAGGTAACGCCCAGCATAGCTCAATGGGCCACGGGCGTACGTAAACGTTAGGGTCCAGTCTGGTAGGGATGAGAGCAGAGAAATGCCAGTTCTTCCATTAATGTGAAAATCGAGACACGTTAACAGCTCGCGAATAGCCAATTCATTCTCAAAAACAAGGTGGAACACTGCTCCTCTTGAACGCTACACCAGCTCTGGCCACATAAACGATATAAGGACCTCCTCAGATGTACACAGTAGAGTTGAGTGACCTGATCACTACTGCCCAGCATTCATCTGCAAACGTTGTGCGCACGCTGGTGCCATTCGATGTCAGTAATACACCGTCATCAACAATGTTTAAAAGGCGATTCAAATCATTCAAGACAAGGAAGCCAATGATCATTGCCGTAGGCAGGAACATCTTCCAAACTACGCCACTACATGCGGTCCTTAAGGCCAAAAGAGATTCCATCCTGATGTTAGTTCCTAAGATAGCTCAAAACAGCCCGAATCATTTTCAATGAAATTATTTAGGCAGTCAAAAGGCAGTCAGAGCAAACTCAACTCCGGTGATCAGTGGACTGATGAAGTACTTCAAATGCTCCATCATCAATGTGTAACAATCATAAGCAATGGGCTAGAGGCCTTTAAAACAAACCTAATATTTTGAAGTGATGAGAACACTTCGAAGAATGTGTGTAGGGTCGACTGCGCTGCGGCTCCATGAAGTAGAAATAAACATCAAGAAGTAATAGATTGAATGCAAAAAGATCAGTAAGAGAAAATAAAATAAATGAGTGAGTCTGTGGAGGGAGGGAAAGCAGCATCTTAAGGTTTGAGATTGCAAGCAATTCTAAAGCATCGGTTTCCAAAATCGTGATACTCTGCAGATAATGATAACCAGCGAACTCAGAACCGAATCCAGGACGAAATTCCCATTCATTGCGCCCATTGGCGGTTTATATAGCAAGTGAGGAGGACTTGACGACAGGAATAGTCCGACCGAATACCACTATGCTCAGAATTAAGTCGACAGGAGCTTTACGTAGTGATAAGTCTGATGGGCCCTTAGCGAAGCAAGGTATCCACAGGAGAGGAAGGCGCAGTCGTGTTCATGGAAAAAGATGACGGAGAAGGAACAGAAAATCAAAAGTTATGGAAATGTTATCAGTGCAGCTCTGTGGTAGTAACTATGGGAACAACTGAACAAAGATGTCTCCTAAGAACATTTAGAGATGTAGTTGCGGATTTTCGTCCATTTAAAAGGTACTGCATGAGGAAGGTGAAAATGATTGCATTCCGAGAGAAAACTATACGCGAGAGATGATACGCATAACGTAACTGGGCTTACCTTTATGTCTGGTCGAAGGCACAAATCGTCTGTCGTGTTAGTATTAAATGCTTTCGGTTGACCTGTGATGAAAAGTCTAATGGGATTCTGTACACGACCACCGGTGGTGGCGTCCACCGAGGAGCCTAACAACGCGTTGTTCTCCAAAGCACCCAGGGAATAAAATGTCGTGGCCGACCTGCTGCTATCGCCTAACGCAGCGCCGTTGGGGAACATGGACGAAGCGTCCACGTTGTTCAAAAGTTGACCAAAATCCGAACTTGCAATTTGAAAGGTAAGCGGTTGATTCGGGTCGGTCTGAGGAATCGCATTGGGAAGCATGGGAAGATGATTGTCCAGTTTGTATAGTTTGTAAGCGGGTTCCAGGACGTCCTCAGAAGGTGACAATTTAAATGCTTGAAAGGAATCCGCATCACTCAATCGATGGCCTAAAGATAAACAACATGGTGCAACGTGTTTCAAACCACAGTAGCTAAAAGATTACAAGAATTCGGACATAACACAGCGCGAATGCAGCAATGATGATGCACTGGTGAGATGTGCGAGCCAAGCAAGTCAAGAGAAAAATGGCGCAACCATGCACAACAGTACTTTGCACGTAAGGACCCGCTGTCACGCAACACATACAGTCCGTGCGGGAACTGAAAGATTGCGGTCGCGCGCAAATTGGAATCAGGAAGGATCAAAACCCTCCGCCACTGGTCGAAGAATACAGCTAGAGAATGCCAGTCTTGTTAGTGGCTTGGGTGAAGCGAACCAATGGCGTACACAAACAGCACAATTTCCAAGGAGGGTGTAAAGCGGAGCCAGATGTAGTCAACAACTAGGGAGGGCAATACTCGTAGGCTAGATGAATTCGGATGATACTACAAATTTTACAGGTATGCAAACGCATTGTACCAAGCTTTTAGTGTGGCACATTTGCGAAATCGCGTGCAGTGGTTTCAAGTTAGCGAGGCTAAGGACGCTGTTTTGGCGTCGATAACACTCTCATCGGTCATGGGACGTTAGCCAATGGGAAACCGGATAGAAGCCCACAGCATAAGCAACAGACAGTACAATGAAAGTGGCCGAGCACCACCTTCCGTTCTATTTTGATGCCTATCCGAAGGAAACCTTGATGATTGGTCTCCAAACTGAAACCGTCCAATGGGCAACTTGTGATGCCTGTCTAAGGAGGAGATCCTAGCTACCACATGATCCGAAGCTCAAGACGTAATCAGTGCGGACAGACATAATAACCATCACATGAAGGGGTCTGTACTTAGTGATCGCAAGCGGCTACCTGGTGGTGGCTTATTCAGCGGCCTAACCATGGTGGCGTAGACAAACAATCTTCTAACTGGTATTCCGCAGTTCAGCAATGGCTGCTAGGCGGTTCGATAATTTTGTGCGATTGTTATTGCGACGATCATGGGGGACATTGTTCTCATTAAAGTTGGTAGACCAACCTGAAGTTGACCCACGAAAGTTCTATGTTTGTTTACTTCCATCACAGTTGATGACTAAACACAAAGTAAGAGGATTCCAAGTGTGGCGTTGACACGACGTTAGTGAGTGTTCGTTTGTCTCCACACCCATGGGCGACTTTGTTAATCAGTTATCGGTAGTTTTTGTCGAGCCTGGAACCCTTGCAGGTTGTTGGAAGAGAAGCTTTGAAGGCTTACACGAGCGAGATGACATCTAATTGAGTAGTGATAAGAAGCGGATTGGTTGGTTGTGTTGAGGCTGCAACCCTTGCAGGCCGTTGGAAGAGAAGCTTTGAAGGCTTACGGGTTGACTGCACGGTTGCCTTCCGTGCTCGCTTGCCTATCTGGCCACATGTGATGCGGTATGCATAGCGTAATCGTGCCACTGCGAGAAATCTGGAAAATCGATAGGTGTGCGATTTCGTTTAAGATATGCGTGTGATTATTAAGGTAGTGTGAGGTAATCAAAAGCAATGCAGTAATTCGTGTGAAGGAGGTAAAGTTAGGACTTCTTCGCCAATAGAATTTTTAAAGCCTTCACAGCTACAAAGTTCTCGTGCTGTGTTTTTTCAGTTGGCCGTACATTCATGTGAATAGCGTAGCTACGTACTGCTGATGTAGTCGGCGCATTGTATACTAAGGTCACGTTCGCTGGGTAGGTAAGACCATCAGTGGATCTGTAGCCATTGTTCCAAAGTGGAGCGTTCCTAGTGTGGCGATGACACGCCATTAGTGAGCGTTCGTCTCCACACCTGTGGGCCACTTCGGTAATCAGTTACCGCTTCACGACCCATGGACTTGCCGTTATTTTAAGGTCGTAAGATACATGTCAATCCTGTGTTTCAACATGATATTTACACTTCACTTCCCAGTGACTGGTAAACTTGAAATAACAAGTGGTCCTACGGCCCTGATATGATCTGTAAACGAGCATTGCATACGTATAGTAAGCATAGAGTTTGGAGCAATTTTCCTCCTTCAACATTGCCTCCGGAATTACCTACTTTCCAATGACAAAATGTTTCCGAGTAGATGCCAAGTCGATAACAGCCTGTGTTACGGCGAGCACACATGACTGCTTCTAAAACTAGTTGAAACAGTGGTCCATAGCAGGATTAGTGGGCGCGGTTGCCTTTGTAAATGATTGAAAACACATTGTAGGAAGGCTCGTGAGTGAGACAACAGTGTTTGTCTGTTCCAAGTACTCATCTGAATTACCAGAGTAAAATGCGTTCCTCGTCACTAGTTATCCGGCTTGCGTTTTTCCTAGCAGGACGATGTGGCGTGTATAAATAAAGTAGTCATTGTAGCCCCTTTAGGCGTTTCTTTGTTGAGTAATGCCGATTTCATGAGGATAGCATTCCAGTCTATGGACGTTATAGTGAGGTTCAATCTGCATTCTAATGGTGCCATTCGGAGAGCCACTTGTCAACGCATCTCAACACGTTTGATAGACCATATGAAAGTAAAGCCTAATTATCCCATGAATTCATAGGTTCCTATGACCTTTACATAACGCCATACATGGAGACACTGAAGAGATCACTGATTAACAAAGTCGCCCATGGGTGTGGAGACAAACGAACACTCACTAACGTCGTGTCAACGCCACACTTGGAATCCTCTTACTTTGTGTTTAGTCATCAACTGTGGTGGAAGTAAACAAACATAGAACTTTCGTGGGTCAACTTCAGGTTGGTCTACCAACTTCAATGAGAACAATGTCCCCCATGATCGTCGCAATAACAATCGCACAAAATTATCGAACCGCCTAGCAGCCATTGCTGAACTGCGGAATACCAGTTAGAAGATTGTTTGTCTACGCCACCATGGTTAGGCCGCTGAATAAGCCACCACCAGGTAGCCGCTTGCGATCACTAAGTACAGACCCCTTCATGTGATGGTTATTATGTCTGTCCGCACTGATTACGTCTTGAGCTTCGGATCATGTGGTAGCTAGGATCTCCTCCTTAGACAGGCATCACAAGTTGCCCATTGGACGGTTTCAGTTTGGAGACCAATCATCAAGGTTTCCTTCGGATAGGCATCAAAATAGAACGGAAGGTGGTGCTCGGCCACTTTCATTGTACTGTCTGTTGCTTATGCTGTGGGCTTCCAACCGGTGTCCAATTGGAGAGTAGTAGTAGTATTAGTCTCAATAGTCTATCGACTAGACACAGAGCCAACATAAAACCATGGAGATCAGCAGATAAGCAAGAGTCATCGCAACACAATCATCATGGCATGCTAGTTGAAGGTGAGCAACACACTTCAACTAATATGCCGCAGGAAGAATGGAACATTTTGACAAAAAGTAGAACAAAACATTTTTAGTTTGTTTTTCACAGACCGATTTTTCTCTTTCTTGTCATTTTCAATCTTTGTAGTATTAAACATGTGAATCAATGCTTCCACTGATTCCGGTCGCGCGCCATGTCTTCGAGAGTGCTAATCCATTGGCACTCCTCATCTTTGGGCCCCCATCCTGGAAGACGTACGAATCCAACAGCGGCTAGACACGACGTCAGCGATTTCATGTGTTACCGCCAAGTGGAAGACTGACCACAGCGCCATCGCCTTCAGCCAGGTGCTTGACGAGCAAATAGAGCGCGACGCGGTAGACACACAGGTGCCATGCGAAAAACGTGACCGAACCATCTCAACTGGCGCAACAAAACCAGTTTGTTGAGGGGAATACTCGCATTCCCCAAGATGCGACGTCGAACGTCATTACTATTAACTCGGTGTTGCCACCAAACACGAGCGATCCTCCTTAAGCAACCGCTATCGAAGGTAAAAAGACGACGCATGTGTTCCACGCGAATCGGCCAGGACTCGCACCCATACAACAATACTGAGCGAACAGATGCGCTGTAAACGCGGCCCTTTGGTGAGAATGAGACGTCGCGACGACGCCACAATTGCCTCAGATTGACAAATGCCGATCGAGCTTTAGCTATACGAAGAGAAAGTTCTTTGTTGATAGTGCCATCAGCAGAAACACAACTCCCAAGGTAGACGAAACTATCTACCTGTTCAAGTTGTGCACCTTCGAGAGTGAGTACGGGAGCAGGTGAAAGCCAATCCTTGAGCAATACTTTACACTTCGATGGGGCGAAGCTCATGCCATACTTAGATGCTTCAACCGCCAAACGATCCAGAATGAGTTGCATATTCGGAGGATCGTCACCAAGTAAGGCGATATCATCAGCATAATCTAAGTCGGTCGCGCGCTCACCCGGTAGAAGCTCTAATCCAAAATGTTGGAAAACTTCTAGAGCATTCGACAGAACGTCTTCGATTGCGAAGTTGAAGAGGAATGGGGTCATAGGGCAGCCCTGTCGCACATCGCTATTGACAGTGAATTGCGAGGAAAGCTTGCCATAGACCCTCATTCTGAGGGATGCATGAAAGTAAAGTGCTCGTAAGATGGCGGTATATATCTCTGGCACCTCGTTCTTTAGTAAGCAACGCCAAAAAGGATGTCGATCAACGAAGTCAAAACGGGCACGTATGTCTAGAAATGCAATGATAGTGGGCCTGTGATAAATGTGGCGATGTCCAAGCAGCTGGCGGAGTGTGAAGATTTGATCCACGCATCCGCGGCCAGGACGGAAACCAGCTTGTTCTTCACGGTAGTATGATTCACGTACTGAGGATAGTCTACGAAGCAGAATAAATGTCAATAGCTTAGAGGCAACAGAAATAAGACTAATCCAGCGATGATTTACACATGAAGTGCGAGCGCCTTTCTTGAAAATCGGGAGAATAACTGAGTCGCCCCAAGAGGAAGGCACTTTATGCCAAACTTTTGCGAACAGCGAGGTCAGCTGGTTAATGATCGCCACACCGTCGTACTTGAATAGTTCAGGAGGAAGTCCGTCTAAGACAGCAGTCTTGAAACGCTTCAAGCGTCGAATCTCGAGGCAGACTTCCGCTTCGCTGGGTGGATTCAGTGG